CCCACACTGCCAGGCTGCCCTCCTGTCGCAGCATCTGCACTGGCTTCCAGAAACAAACCCTCTGTCTTCCCCAAACCACTGAACTGCCGTCTCCTCCTCCTCTCGTCAGCAAAGGCCTTTAATGCTCCAATTCCTTGACAGTATCGRGAAATGCCATCAGAGAGACGTAATACAGAGATCCCTGGAAAAGCAGCTCTGACAGAATGGATATTTCCTACTATTGACTTCGAAGGAAGGCGGGCGAGTATTAATGGTATTTTTAAAGCACTCCTCGGGCATCGGTGCGCGACACCCTCCGCTCGGAAAGCTGATAACACTTGGCAGGCCCCCGAGCCAGGCGAGGAAGCTGATGGTTTAGGTAAAGTATCTGAAGGGACCGACACCTGTTTTCCCCAGGGATGCAGAATTGTCCCTTGGTCTCCTGTGTCGATCCCGAGAGGAGACTCCTCACTCACCGTGCGCCGCTGAACACACGCTCTCCCCGGACCCCGGACGCAGGCAGCCCGTTACTTACTCGCTAGTGAGGACAGAGATTCCACGCTCGTTTCCTTAGCAGCAGTAGCAATAACACCAACCTGCTCAGTAGGCCCTTTTTTGCCCATAAATTTAATAGCGGGTTGCTGCCCATGATGTATTATGAATGTAGAGGGGCCTTCTGGTGCTCAGAGGAAAGATTTTGTAGGTTTATGACAGGCCAAGCCACCTACAGCCACCTACGTCATAGATGCACAATAAAAATAACAGCAAGTTCCACGGGACCACTATCTTTTATGTGATCTGTGCAAGAATCTGTTTCATAGGGGGAATGGCCAATGGGTAGCGTGTGTGATGCAGTGATCTGAACGTAAGATCTGGGCCTGGAATGCTGCAATTGCCTCGTGATGCCCCTGGGCAAGTTACTGATCTCCTCTGCGCCTCAATTTCCCCGTGTCCAACAGGGTGGCTACAGTCTGAGCCTCTCAGGGGTCTGTGTACAGCAGTGGCAACCAAGTCACTGCGTCCCGACTGCTCCCAAACCCGGTATTTTGCAAATATGCAAGAAAAAAAAAGATTCTGCTCCAGTCTTGGCTATCTAAGCAGGATCATGACATGACAAGCAGGTCTCAAACACATTCAGGAGGCATTCGTTCCTTTAAAATATATGAAATAAGAGCTACTTAAAACAGGTGTTACCACTGGCCATCCCCTTTCATGGGTGTCACACAAGTTACAACACCCAATTTCTGCTAACACACATTGCACAYATGGAAATTCCATAAACATCCTTACCTGTGCTCAGGTCTGTGAAGGCTGGCCACACAGGTCCCCTGAGCACACACACACCCARGGTTGGGAACTTGGGTTTCTACTCTTTCTGTAGGGTGTCAGAGGGTGCACTGGCCAGCCAAKTACGGCCGTGTCCAAATCAAACAGCTCTAGACACCTAAATGAGCAGCTCGGTATTTACGTTTGCRAACAGAGGCTTAAGCTGAGGATACAATATTTGGAGATCGGCAGGGTTCTACCCACCAAAGTACTGAAAGATACAGTGCAAAAGGCACTTCTGCTGACAAAAGAGCTATGGGACAAAAAGCTATGAGAAACTTCTCTTTCTTTGGAAATAAAATAACTATTTAAGCTTGCTAATTTTTGCTGTCTCAGACAATCAGAATTCCAATTGTCTGGGACATCAAATCTGAAAAAGCACGAAATTAATCTTCAGAAGTTAAAGTCTTAAAGGCATTGCATCATTATTTTTGTTGGATATATTTTTGATTATAATGCAGATGAACCCCAAATTTAATAAAACTAGAATAACATGAGTTAAGTATGAAACATAACAGGATATTGCAAAGAGATTAGGTAGTTTCCTTCAGACTACTTGCAGAGCCCAAGGAAAAACCAAACAGAGGGACACAATGACGAGAAGGCACCGCTTAATTAGAATATTTAACGGAATATGAAAACAGAATACGCAGAGTGCAGCTTTTTGGGAGCAGAATACGTCCCCGAAACCTTGGAGCTCTCTGCAGCAGATACTGTTTTGCCTGTYGACTGTCTGTATCACGGAAAGAAGCGGGCTGGCTAAATTTAAACCAGCTGGAATGATGAGAGTGTTACAGTTGGACTGGAGGAAGCTTACCTCATGAAAGTATTGTGGAAACTGCTGTTGGAAAGATAATAAAAGGATTAACTGCAGTTTTAGTGAACCATTTACTTTTCAATCAAAATGTCTCATGTATTTCCTGTTCTCAAGTAGCTTGAATTCCAAAATTCCTTTGTCTATTACAGTGCATAGTAGCAAAGCCTGTCATAAGAAATTAATAATTTTACATGGCAAAGTGCTTTCATGTCGGAGGGTGCTGCTTGCTGTTGGCCTCTCCTGAGCCGTTCAATACCTCGTCCACTAGTAATCTTACAGAGGGGCACAAAATCAACGGCTTAAAAAGGAAGTACAATGGGTAATTGTGAACAGCGAAAGAAAATCTSCACTACAAATACCAAGAGATGTAAAGTTACTTTAGTGGGGCTACAGCGAAAATGAAACAAAATCTCAGCCCTCAATAGACACGGAATGAATTGCCTTCTTAATTTGCAGGAGTAACAGCACAATTATTACCACATCAAAAGCGAAGCCATCATTTAAAATGACATGACACGGGAGCACAATGCAGCCCTGCACGGCAACCCGGGTTCAAAGTGGAATGGAATTCGCTGGGCAAATAATCCCCACTTGATATTAATAACTTGAAGGAGCCCTGTTGCAGCTTCAGCTCTCGTCCCGGCTGCATCAAGGTTTTTGCAGGGTGWAAAAATAAAGCTGCAAAGGGGACGCATTTTTCACAGGATCTCTTGGATCCAGGTTTATTCCAGCGCAGGATTCCCGGCAGTGACACCCGAGTGTGAGCGGGTAACGCGGGCGGCTCTGCTGCCAGCGGCAGGGTGTCCGTTCTGGAGGTGAAGGAGTTAACTGCCCGTGCTGCGATGGGAAGCTCCTAAATCGGAGCCTGTCCTGGTCCCAAGCAGCGCAMCAACTGCAGCATCAGCTGGGATGAAACGGACCTTCCTGCGCTCGCAAGCCGAGGCCGCCTGCAGCGGCGCACACAGGCGTCCCCGACCCGTTCACAGCACTAAGCCTCGACAAGCGATGGGTTCTCAAGAACAACGAACCAAAAGGAGGGATTTCTTAGCATTTCCTAAGAATTACACAGCTTAACTTCTCTGGTTTGTGCGATTTCCCTTGCGAGCGGAAACGTAACAATACAAACCTGCTACAAAACCTGGCAAATATCCTCTAAGAGAAAAGGCAAAAGTTCCCCCATCTGCGGAGCCTACTGATTGTTTCCCTGTCCTAGCAAATGGAACCAGCTAGACCATTTTAAATGTTTTCTTTAGAAACTGGGAGATGAAAGCAGAGAGAAGACTGGTCTCTGTACTTGATTAGAAACATTAAAAACAAAAAGCAGACTAAAATAAAATCTATACGATTTCACAGCTTATTTATACTTTTGTTTGGAAAGAAGCAACTAGCTTCCATTATCCTTTGATGATTTAGGACAAGAGATATCATATCATAAGCATCATAAGTAGTTTAAGCTCATTTGCTTTTTTGCCCTGCAGGATTGAGCATTTTCTGAAAATAAGCAAGTCAGCTCTGCTGTTCAAAGAGAAGAGATTCAGGTAAAACTTACGTAAAACTTCCCATTTTATCTTGAACAACTAATGACAATCTCTAAATAACTGTACTGTTTCCAGTATTATTTTAGGGAATACTCACTGATATTAAGATAACATTAGTAATTTATCCAAGAGACCTAGGAAGATAATCGGTGATCACTTTCAGAGAATATTTTTCTCTGTGAAACATTTGGAATACTACTTTTTTCTTGCTTTCTCCCTTGTTGCAGGCCAACAAGCATGCCCTCAAACAAACGAAAWAAAGCAAGCTTTTCATATAAACACATTTTGCTGTTCCTCCATAGAAAGCCACAGCTCACCATGGAAAAGTTTGTCTTGATCTAACTTTCTTACAAAAGTTTTCCATTAAATCATTCGCTGATCAAAACATAAAAAAAATAGATGTATAGCTGAAAAAGCAGCCTATCTGGAAATATAGCATCAAATATAACGTGCTGCCACAACCTTTTCTTTGTGGTTCCGTTTCTTTGGGAGTGTGTGCACGCGCTCAGGGGCTCGCGTGTGCGTTGCAAATACGACTTTTTACATTTCATGGCCCAGTCTGGAAGCTGATGTCAAACTTGTTTTGCTTCATGTGTTTCAGTCATGGTCTTATATCATCGCTGTTTCCAGCATGTGGAAAGCTTAATGGAAGTCATTAACTTTTATTTTAGTTTGGCCATATTGTCATCATGGTGGGCAGACGCAGCCGTGGTGCTATTCCCAAGATCCTCTTTTTTGGAACGCTGATGTTGTTTACATCTTCTTGATCAGACGAGAACAATGGTTTTCACTTATTTTTAAAGCTCTGTTTTTGCAAATTAAAAAAGCCCCTAGAAACCTTTGAGAATCCAATTAAAGTTACTCTTTTTTTTTTCTTTTAACTATTTGAAATCCTTAGAAAGATTCTTTTTCATTTCTCAACTACCATTTGAAACTTTTGCACTCCCAGTTCTATGGGTTATTGTTCAGCTGAAGGAATGAAAAGAATTTCATTAGATGTGTTTTGTGTTTCTTGATTAAAAATGTCACCCGAGGCTCAGTGACTTGTTTTACGTTAAATGGCTGCTACATGCTTTGATCATCACTTTATTAATTCTTTAATGAATATTAAAAAAAAATAGAGCACTARGCTTTCATATACGGAAACTGAATCTCTTTTCCAAGAACTACAGTATTTCTTACTCAAACATTTCCTTCCAGATTAAGGTCTTTCTCCATTACCCCGCTGCAGCCCAAATTACAGGAAAGCACAATAATTATATTGGAATAATATTGAAGAGAGAACAAGAAAGAGAGCAAAGCGGTATGTTTCTACTCAAGCAAATATATTCCAGACTTACCATGCACTTGTTTGGTTTTTCTCCGGAATGAACCCTCATATGAATCAGCAGTTTGTAACGAGCATTGAAGGGTTTATACCGGCGGACGCAGCCTGCCCAAAAGCAAGTGAAGTCCTCTCCTTTCCGCTGGTCAATGTGCGTCTTTTCTATGTGCCTGACCAGCTCGTCTTGCTGCTCGTACGTGGCACTGCAGTCAATCCACCGACAGACCTGCTTGCCGCTGCCGAGGTCCTGCTCGTCGCCCTCGCTGGCCTGAAGGGACTTGGGGGACACGGAGGGGTGCAAGGGAGGCAGCGGCCCCGGGGTCTGGCCGAGCTGCTGATGGAGATGGTAGGGAGGAGGCAGCCCCTGGTGATGCCGGAAAAGGTCAGAAGTGGAGGAATAATCATCGGCCGGTTCTTGTTTTAAGAAACTCACCTTCTGGGTGCTGTGCGGGGCGCTCTGATGAGGAATGCTCGTGCCATTCATCATAAGGCTGAGGTTTCCATTCTCCTCCACTTGCTGCATTTGGATCTGCTCGCAGTCCCCTCTGTCACAGTCAGCGGCGAGAGGCACCAGACATGCTGGAGGGGAGGGGATGCTGCAAGGGTTTCCGGGCTGAGAGCAAGACTGGGGCCGAGAGGATTTCTGAGCACTGTGATGGCCGCTCTCCACAGGATGAGAGGAAATGCCAGCTGAGTTAGTCCGCAGCCCATTCACACAGGTGACCAGTGACGTCTGCGAGGTGCGGATGATAGCGGTAATATCGATTCCTTCAGCTGAGGATGGCACCACGGAAAGGCATCTCTTCTTCAGGCTGCTCGCCTGCAGCCTGGCCGAGTGCTGCGGGGTGCCAAGTGACAAGGGACCCAGGGAGGAGCTATGTTCATTATTGAACAAGTACGTTGAAAGCGAATTTGTAAAGCTATTATTCACCAGGTCTATGTCCGGATGCAGACTACCGGAGGCTCGCAGCTCCATCCCCTCCGTAATCCTCCTGTGTGGAGACGCCTCAGACACAACCTTATAATCACTCAGGCACTCCTGTTTGATGTGCTGAGCCGGGTGGCTTCCATTCAGGCATGGAGCGGCAGCATCTCCCGGCTCCGGAAACCTGGCCGACCTGCAATACAGTTTCATTGAGCATCACTAACTGCCACAGCACTGATGATTTTTGTACAAGACACAATGTTTGCTAAGCCTCCGAAAATGATTTTTGTACAAGACACCTTGTTTGTTAAGCCTTGGAAAACAGAGGCTCTCTGCTGAATGTTGCCTCCCTAATGCGGCAATTACATCAAAAAAAACTGCAACGCTTCCCCTACAACACTTGTAAAGGCAGCATCATTTTACACAGGATTGATTTTACACAGTGGGTTACACACAGGAGAGACAATCTCTCTTCCACTGCTACRAGCAATTCATCAATCACAATCTAGGTTTTCAATGCATAATAGATTGGGCAAAACAATAGCTGAGAATGAAGTTTGAGTGCTTTGGGCATTTCTGAATTATTCAAATATCAGCGTTTTCCTCCGAGCACACTGGGAAAACGCCTGGGCATTCTCGTTCACACTAATCAGAAAAGGCCAGCTGAGTTTTGCTTACACTTTGGAGAGATAATTCCTTCCCTCAGTTAAAGGAGCAATGAGGAAACAAGGAGCGCATAGAAAGAAAATGGCATTTTCAACCAGTGGTGCAGAGTTTTGGGAGGTCGGCATGACTGTCTGCTTCTTACAGAATAACTCCATGCATCAGTAGAGGTTGGGGACTGGYCTTCTGGAGAACAGCTTTAGGACCTGGGCGTCATGGTGGACAAGCTGACCATGAGGCAGCAGGGTGCCCTCATGGCCAAGAAGGCCAACGGGATCCTGGGGTGCGTTAAGAAGAGCCTCTCCAACAGGTYGAGGGAGGTGATCGTCCCCCTCTGTGCAGCTCTGGTGAGGCCACATCTGGAGTATTGTGTCCAGTGCTGGGCTTCCCAGTACAAGAAGGATGTGGAGCTGTTGGAGAGGGTCCAGCACAGGGCTACGATTAGGGGCCTGGAACATCTGCCCTATGAGGAAAGGCTGAGGGAACTGGGCCTCTTCAACCTGGAGAAGAGAAGGCTGAGGGGGGACCTGATCAGTGTCTATAAACACCTCAAGGGAGGCAGCGAGGAGGAGAGGGCGGCCTCTTTTCAGTGGTGGCCACTGACAGAACTAGAGGAAACAGCCACAAACTGAAGAATCAAAAGTTCCACAGGAAYTTAAGGAAACATTTCTTGACTGTGAGGGTGACAGAGTCCTGGAACGGGCTGCCCAGAGAGGTTGTGGAGTCTCCTTCTTTAGAGATCTTCCAAACCCACTTGGATGCAGCCTGTGCCATCTGCTCTAGGTGACCCTACGTGTGCAGAGGGTTGGACTAGATGATCTCTAGAGGTCCCTTCCAACCTTAAGGATTCTATGCAAAAAGCTATGGAAAGCCCCACTTATATTTCCTTCATGAAAGCCTACATGGTTCTGCAAATCAGAAAAGGTTAAAAATCACTTATGTAGAACCCCTGGCAACTGTGAAAAGCAGCAAATGAACAAGAGCAAACAAACAAGTGCCAAAGTCGCCTTTATATGTGAGAATCTCAACCTGGACACCTTGACAACCGTCTCCTCATGAGCATATCCTTGATGGAGTTAGCGGCACCAAGACATGGATATGGAATGACCCCATGCAGGCTGTCCTGTCTCCAAACATAGGCTGAATCCTGGCTCTCAAAAGCAGGGCATGAATGAACCACCCCCCAGTGCCATTTCAGAAAAAAACCCCACTGCATTTAGGAGCCTTTCTTGCTAATATTTTCATCCAAGCAGTCAGTGTTTGGTTTGAGCCTTTTAAATGRAACATTTTATCTCAAATACAAACATTTATTGCGGATGACTCAACATGTCTTAAGACCAGTAGATGATCCTTACATCTTCCTGAAGCATGGTAAGGTTTGAGTTGTGCTTCCCCACACAGCGATGGCCAGTCTGGAAATACAAACAGCACAGTTGTGTGCAAGCAAGCTCTACATGAACCAACAAACCCTCTGCTTAGATCTTCCATATGTCTTACACTGGTATGAATTTTGTTTTTTGATGCTTCCTCCACAAAAGCTGGAAAAAGTCTGGCCATTTGGCAGGTCTCACATGACAAYACAGCAAAGAGGCACATCTCAAAGCATGAAACACAGTGTATAAAATAATGTGAATGTACCCAGGCAATAAACCGCAGAGCTGCTGAATAAACTGCACTTATTTTATGGCTTGGATGATTTCTCTTCTATAATTTGCATTCATCTACCACTAACATCAGAAGTTGGACCACTTCTAGGACTTCCCTGATAAACACTCTCAAAAAACCACTGATTAGAATAAAATAAAACAAAACAGAACAACCACATAAACTCTCAAATAGTCTCCCCATGAAATGAAGATACTCAAAAAATTACACCTATTTGAGGCACACAACTGGCAACACTGCAGTCACTAATGACAGATTTCTAAGCTCCAATTTTTCAAGGCCAGAAAGACTTGAAATAAAGAACTTTAATGCCACAAGAGAACTAAAATTCCCAACCTTTGATTGATATAGAATACGATCTTGCATTTTGCCACTGAAATTTTTAAAACATTATATTTAATAATTTTAGAGGTTTCCATAATCCATTAGTTATAATTTCTCCCTTTGGGTTTGCACAGTTGGTCTCAGAGTAAACTTAAAGCACCTGGTTTTGCAGATGGTGGGTAAAAAAAACCACACACAACAGTACTCATACTTTATTTTTTAACATTTCCAGAACCATATGTCTGTAAAATATATGGCATAAGCAAAAACAAAGTAAAAGCCTTTTATTGCACATCTTTGGAAAAGTCCAACTTGCTTTCTTGCAGCTTCACTACTCATGAGACAGCACGTTGTTCCAAACTCTTTCTGCAAAAGGTTTCACAGATACCACCCCATTTCCTATTTTTGTTCTTCTATATGAGAACTCTTCTAAATAACTCGGATGGTATCATAGCCTAGTGGTCATAAAGCCTTAGGCTAAATTAAATACAACACATTTCTTGTATTATACAAAGCTAACCAAATCCTTACATTTCAGCCTGTGATAATTGGAGTCATATTATTAAGTCTTATGGAAGGCTCCTATCCTGTTCCTAATCCACACGTGGAGTTCAGGTTGGAGTCTGGGCAGAGTATCTGCAGGAGGGCACAAATATCCCCATCCTGAGAAATCCTGGGCTCCCAAAACTCCCAGCAACATCAGTCTTTATTTCAAGCACAAGATTTTTCTAGGAATGAGGACAGTATTGCTGAGATGCTGGTGCAGTGATGAATGAGAGATGCCTAAAAGAGTGGACTTTTGAACAAAAGGCAAGCTAGAATGCCTTATTTCAGAAATAGAAGAGATGAGGCACCGAATTCATTCTTCCTATCCACAAGCCTTATCCCAGCTGTGCCTGTGTAATGTGAGTGCAAGTTGCTTGTGCAGATCTGCGAGTCCTTCCTGAGAGACCAGCTTTCTCTGCAGCTTCTATTTCCAACGATAGCTAGCTTGGCTGGGAGAATCCAGCTTTCTTCTAATCTCCTGCTTTTACTTTGTTGTGCTGAACCTCTTGTTTGCATTAATGCAAGTTTTCTGAACTCCTAGCACAATGTTGTCTTCCCTGGTGTATGGAAAACCCTGCTGGTTCTTCCCAGATCCTTCAGAACAGGGATAAAACTGATGCAAGAGCGAGGATAYGAGCAGCTTTGAGCGACTCCCCTCACACCCATGGGCTCTTTCTCCTGTCACGGTGCCTCGCTGCTACAGCCAGAGATCACTTTCCAGGTCCAGGGAACGCAGGCTCTCCTTGCCCTATGGATTTCCCRTCTCTGGACAGGAGCCAGACATGCATGGAAGGAGCCAGAGGAGCACGAGCAGGACAGAGCAGCGCAGGGAGCACTGGGGGACATGGTGACCTGCAGGGCAGCCCTGCCAGGTCCCTGACACACGGCACTGACAGGACATGGGCCCTGGAGGACGCCCTTCCCACCACCTCCCCTCACAGGGAACATCCATGCGCTGGGGACGGACCGTCGGAAGCAGCACTGCTGCACAGCGGGATTGGAGCCTCCGTGCAGGAACAGCAGCCTCTCCGAGGATACGAAAACAGCGCTTCCAAAGCGGCTTCTTTACGTGGTAATTGGAGCCAGAGCACGAGGCCAGCAGCACCACGCCAGAATGCTGCAGTTCCCAACAGCCCTCCGAGGAAGACAGCCCCGTATCTGAAATCTCCACATTATTTACAAAACAACCGTACGTGGCTGCCGTCACCGCTGTAAATGAGCCATGTGTGATAACTGACAGGTTTAAGAAGCTGGAGGGGAGCTCGGCTGCACATCTYGGGCCCCTTTGCAGCACTATCTAACCGCTCGGCCGCCTTGCCGCGTCGCTCCGCGTGGGCGGCCGGGCCCGGCCCAATAATGGATGATCTGACTGAAGGCCAACGTTAGCTGTGGGCTGACTCCCGTTGTGGGGAAGGAGGGATTAGGACCTCTCCAGTCCCACACGCATCTYATTCACAGACAGCACGCAGCGGCAGGCCCATTGCAAAACTCAGGAGCTATTAACTGAGAAGGGAAAAGGGGACAGGAAGGAGCGGGGTCGTGATTCTTGGATTAAGGCAGTCATCCCTGAAATACAGTTTCTGAGAGAAAGTGATTCAGAGAGACGCTGAAGGGGATTACAGGCTTTAGTCCGCTGAGGGATAAACGCACAAAGCCAACTGCAACCCCAAATCCTGAGGGAGTTTGGGGATGGCCGGGGGAGGTGCTCTTTGGTTTGTTTGAGTTTTGTGTTTGTAGGATGTGCAACATCCAAAGAAAGTGGTTCAAAGCTCAACCCGGAGGGCGTGCTGGAATTGATACCACCCTTTATTTCTGTCTGGTTCCTGACAGAACAACGTGCCAAGCAGAGTCTGCACCTTCCACCCCGTGCTCAGGTGTCTGCCCACTCCAGGCCTACTTCTCTCACACACCTTCTAACGAAGGCCRAAATCTGGGGAGGCAGAGAGCACCCTTGGCTGCCACTAACTTCACATTCAGCCCTCCTCAGTTATAGCTCGTATTCATAAATCTTCAGGAAAAGACCAAGTTTTCTGTTATTTGCTTGTCATGAACTTCTGGCATCACAAACTCCCTGAACAGAAATCATTCCAACTGCTGACCACCTTCCTGACCATGCTAAGGTTTTGGCTCTGTACCATATGTCTGGTGAACAACACCAAAAAAGTGCTAAAATTAGATGCTGTGCCTGGAAGGTCCAAAGAGCAGATCTGGGCATTGACATTACCCTGAAAATCTCTGTAAAATTCATGGGATGAAAAGAATATTAGCCAGGTGGACACACAAGCAGACCATGACCGATGGGACACATGAACACCCCACAGAAGGGACCTGTCCTATACCTTCTGGAAATTTCCCCAATATTTCCAAACAGTTACTTARGAAATATCAGAGCCTCAAGGATTTAGACTGTGTTATCCAGCAAAAGGGAAGGAATTAAGCYGATCACCTGCTACTTTTTCATGCTAGTGGCTCTCATGTTCTGCAGCAGACAATCCTTTATGTTGTTCTGGGAATGGGCACTGGAAGAGGTTCATATTTCRGAGGGTGGGTACTGTGATCCCTTGTAGGCAGGTATCTGTCATTTCCTCATTATAAATTTTACAAAAAGGTTTAAAAAGATCTAAGCAGCTTACTCTCTTCCTCCTTTTGTTTGCTCCTGCCCTAATTATCTTTGTCTCATAATTGTCCTCACTGACAGAATAAAAAAGAGTGATAACTGCTAGTCCCACATTAAGCCATAAAAGGGCTGGGAGGGAGCAGACTTAAATGCAGCAGTAACAGCATCCACCTACCTTTGCAGTAATAGCAGAAGATTTTGTTATGTGATATGAAATATCCTTTCAATCAGGCAAACAAACCAACCAAAAGTTCCTTCCACTTGCTTGCTACATGGTTGTGCATTCTCTTCCTAAAAATGCTGATGTTTGCATCTGCACATTTACCCCACAGTAAATGGAAAAGGGTAAACAAGGCATAAATATGTATAATAAAATRAGAAACAGCCAGAATTCCAATCCCAGATTTCCCTAGTCCACATTTCCTCTTGCTATGACTATGAAAATTCGGGCTTGATAGTTCTAGGCAGAGTTTGCCAATTATTCTAAATATCTAAGATAAAGGCTGTAACTTTATTGAGGTTTTCTTTTCTATAGCTCTTCAAAAAGGTCAAGATCATTCCATATTGTATTCCTTGCCAAAAAGCAATGTAATTAAAATAGATGGACAGGTTTTAATTTGGAGCAGGCTTCTATTCACAATGGATGTCTGTTTAGGGTACTTGTTTAAAATCTGGTAATGTTAAATTTGTAACAACAACAAAAAAATAATGGAGTTCTGTGTTTTCATATAATTAATTTATAGCAAATGTTTAAATAGAGATTCTGTTCATAGCAGATCCAACTACAGTATATATATCAAAACCAGAGACCAAATTTTCACATTACAGCCTTAAAAGCAAATACCAAGGATGTGGTGATATGGGAACATTGAGAGTGCTTCATTAAAGGAAACGCTGTAGAAATAAAAGTGGCACTGGTTTCCTGTAAGTTAGATGGTGGCAGGCCAAAGTGCCATATGGGARCCGTTGGGTTGGGAGCATCATCCCTGCCTTGCAGGCTACTATTTGGTAACAACTGGGCACTGGGATGGCTGGTACAGAGGAGGCAAGGCTGATCCTACTTAAGTCCCTGGCAAAGCGCTCAGTGACTTCTGAGAGTGCTGGAACAGTCCCCATGGGCAAGCTGTATCGCAGCTTCAGGGCAGGAGGCTGCAGCTGGTTTTGGCACTGCCAGGACAACAGGCTGGGCACACGTGCCCAACGGCTGCGCTTCACTCCCCGCATTGAGATCCTGCAAAGGAGCCTTGTGGCTCAGTGAGCATCTTAGAAGGACATCCAAAGTGAAGTAAAAACCAAAAAATCTCTTCCAAACGTAGCACCTCCATCTGGCCACAAGATAAAACCCAGGCAAAGGGAAAACACAGATTTATGCCCAGAGTGATGCTACTGGGAAATGACTGCAACAAGGAAGCACTCCCGAAGAGCAAAGTGTATCAGGCAGGGGTACCTTAGGTCCGAGTGTGCCAAGTTGAGCTGCCCAACATGCAGCAGCCTCTCACAGGACAGTGGGTGGTCTCGCATAAGTGGGCTCCCCGCATGGATGAACAGACCTTGTCTGCAGACAGGTACTGAGCTGTTTGTCACCTCCACGTCCATCATGTTCTTCTTCTCTGAGATCAGGTTACAATGACTGTAGCCACCGTTCACTGTCAAAAAAAAAAAAAAAAAAAGAAGAAATAATAATAAGCCTCTAATCCAGAATTGCCTATATTCATTACTACTTTGTATGTTGCTTGTTTCGGATCGCCTGGTAAAATTGTTGTAAATGACATTGCACTGGAAATGAAAAGTTTCACAATGAAGCTAGAATTAATTCCAAAAGAATTTGAGTCTGTGAATTATGGCTGTTTATYTCTCTCTTCAAGTTCTGGAATTGTTTTGCATTCCATATTTTAACTCAAAAAGAAATTAGTGTAATATCTTCCTTTCCTTCTGTGTATTCTGCGGTAGAGCCTTGCTTGTGCTAGATTTTGGGGAAGGACATTTTAGAAGATTATTTTTTAGAAGTCTTTAYTTTCAGTGAGAGGAGCTCTGAAAACTATGACATAAGTCAAGTTTTTCTTCACAGATGATTATTTTGGTGATTATGACTCTACATGGGCATGTTTCAATGTTACTGTCAGGTCAACAGAGCGAGAAAAAAAAACAAAACTATTTTTGTTTCAATGTATACATTTAACTGTATTTTCCAAATAAGCTGTTATTATAAATGATGACAGCGTTGATGATGCTAATAATATATTAATGGATTCTGCACTCTGTAACACTGGTGAATATTACATTTTACCAGACTTGGAAAAACAGAGTAGTGCTACATCAATATTCTCACATTTACATCCAGCAAATGATAAATGAGCTGAAAAGAGAGGACAAAGTGGGAGTTGTGAATTTATGTGAATTTATATCTGTATTGGTCAAACGCTAACAATTCCATTTAATTTGATTATTTATTTCATTGTCTTTAGGGAACCACTCAAATACTCAAAGATGAGCACATATAAAAGTATTTGTAAGACACTTAGCCTTCAAAGGTTAACAKAAAGAGTCACAGTAGTTATTTACCARCATTTTCATTACTAGATCTGAGTCAYGCTTTCAAAATACTAGCTCTCCCCYAATSTGTTTTCTTCCATGGTGACAAAAYGCAAGGGTCTCAGACACAAATGACAAGCATATTTGCTGAGGATGCCCAGAGCGCCCAGCAAAGTCGCTCCTGCTTAGTTCTACTTAGTGGCATGGTAGAACTAGCCACACTAGTAGAATCAGAGACCTGAAAATGGGTATCTAAAACAGGCTTATGCACCTTTGGGGCACGCTTTCCTCTCCCCCTTGCCTACAGAAGGCACCAAGATGATTAAACCAGATACCTCACTTTCAGTCAACAGTAGTTTRGTGAAACGAATCCCATTGACCAGCCATATGACTGAGCAACCATCATCCTCATCACGAAGTATCACACCTCATCACACTGCCCTCAGCTCTGGTCCTCCTTTTACTAAAGCCCATGTCGGGCACAACTGCTATCGTTTTAACTTTATCATTTGTGATACTACACAGAACATGTAGATACTTAAGTATAGATAATACTACATCATTACATAAGTATCACTGTATTCCGTTAATGATATTTTCATGACATAAGATTAAGTCACTGCTTTCACAGGGCTTCTCAGATCAAAGATGCCTTTAACATGAACCYCCTTTTCCTCTTATGTATAGCTGCGAACCCCACAGCTGACAAAAGGCAAGTGGGAATCCTGGAGCTGCTGTGGTCCTCGACCAGTATCTCCAAGGAGTGCTTGAAAGCAATGAGATCCACAGTCAGGTTTGGGGTGAATATGAATAGTGACCGTGGAAGAAAGTCCAGGAAAACTCCTGGAAACTGCAGAAATTGGGGAAGGGCTCTCACTGCACACAAGTCCATTCTCGTCCTCTGGGTGGGCTCCACGGCCTCCCCAGCTGCTTCCCCAGCACCGCGGCAGCAAGGAAGACCGTGGCAGATGAAGACACAGTCCAGGCAAGGATCCAGAGCCATGGAAAGGAGTGGGGACACGTGACACCCAAATTACTTGCCTCATGAGGTGTCATTGTGATATTTCAAGAACAGAATTCCCTGTTCCTAGCTAGGCTTTCTGTGTTGGGCTTATGCATTACATCTCTCGATTTTTGTTTAAAAAGTCAGAATCTTAAAAAACTGAAAAAATAATTTATATTTTTTTTCTACTGAGCTCCAATCACAATACTAAGATTTGTGGTAAGCCTTAGGAAGTGCAGGCTAGTATTACTTTATATACATAAACAGATCTTGTAAGATTTTTAGGAATTATATACGAGARTTTAATGAGAAATATAAATTTATACTTAAACTATACAAAATAGGCCATTAGCCTTTTTCATGGCGATTTGTGTATGTCTTTGTTATTTCAGATTAATATTCTGAGACCTCAATGCACAGATACTCTGCGACTGTTCTGGAAGGCTCTGAAGACACAAAGAAGCTCTATAAAYGCGCAGCATCCCCTGGCCAGCTCAAGGCAGTCAATTGTATTTGGTGGTTTTGGACCTAAGCGTTTAAGAATATCATGTTGGATGGTTTTCAGCTCACAGCGGGTGTTGGTGATGATCGGCGCTGTCCTGGTTGTAATTATGACATAAATAATTATTATATCCTACGGAGTYCACGACTCCACAGGGTTTTATTCCATTCCCATTCTGGCTTTAATCTCTGGTAATTTAACCCACTTCAGTGCTAATATCTACCTTAGCAAAAGAGTACAATAGTCACACGTAAAGATGACTGTTGAAAATACACTGTTCAACTTTTCAATGAAAAAAGCTCTATATACTGTTAAATGCCACAACACTGAAAAAGGTCAGTAAATCAGTCATACCTACAGTACCCAATTCATAGTTTCTCACTTTTTCTATCAGCAATGTTAACTGGACAACATTCAAGGTTCAATTCAAGGTATCTTCCCTCCAGAGCATTGTTAAATTTTTAAAAATGCTTTAGGTCTATAATGGACCAGTAGTAACAATACTTACCTTTTTCTTTTTTTTTTCTTTCATTTCCCAAATGATACAAGCATGAAATTCATTCAAGTCTTTTTAAAGACACATTTTACCAATTTTATCCCATTATCAAAACACAGAAACTTTAAGCTTCCCCTCACAACTGCAGTGCACATGGCTACCTGTTTGAAGACAGAGATTTCCTAGAATAACACGAACATTATCCCTGTGCTGTCAAGAACGATTATCTTTTCTTGTAGCTGTCAAATCAGAAAATGCACTTTCTACCCACAAAGGCACCAAACACTCATGCTAAATCCATGAAATTAGGTGTGCATTTCAGCCGGGACCTTTTCCTATACAAAGTACCTTAACAGATTTTGAAGCAAGGGCTAAAAATGACTTGCCCAGGAGCACCTCATCTGAAGCTGCTCTTCAGATGCAAGTGGCGTTATTCAGGTCTCCCTTTTCCCCCCACAGCAAAATGGAATGAGGAGCAGGAGCTTATCTCCAAACACAGACAAGCAGAGCCTGCGTTCAGCTGTTCAAGTGAGCAAATCCATCGCCTTCAAAACAAAAAAGATTTTAAAAGTATGGTTTACCCCAGCGTAACTGAGACCAGAATGTGGCCCTTTGACAACTGGCTTTTTTTGTACAATATTAATAGCACTTGCTGGCATAGAGGAGATTCCAGCATTTTCCATGTCTGGAACTAGGTCTCCATTGGTATCTAGGGGCCTGTAACCTGGGTACTCTCAGYGACCAGTACCAGATGAAAGGAGCCCCCCTGCATCCCACGCGCCAAAGGCTTCGCCCGGCCTTCTGGAGAACCCTCGCTATTTCATAAATCCATACACAAAACCTAATCCTAATTTACAGAGAGTAAATCTAATAAAAGCAGAATGGTTTCCAGAAGGATCTCATGGAGGCGGAATCTGTCAGTGTAACTTTTGTCTTTCTCTATTTTCTGTCCTGCAGTTTTGATTTATATCTTTAAGTGCTTGCGAAGGGAGCGGAGGAGGCTGATACAGTAGTGTGCGAAGGCCGCAATCAGCCAATTCCTTCCATATGAGTAATCATCTTCATTCAGCTCTCCACATCTTGCTGCTTTCATTCTGGGGCGAGTTTTCCTGATTTATTTCTTGATTTCTTTGTATAGTTAAGTGAGAATCAGGCCTGTTGATCACCGTAGGGCTACGCACCTTGGGAAGGACCATGCACAACCRGGCAGGGCCTGCAGAGCCAGCCCTGCATTTCTCACAGGGGGTAAATAACATCCAGCCAAAAACCTGCTTGCACTAAGGAAAACCTGTCCGAGCAGCAATGAAATCAATATTAAACCCAACCATCCTAAAGGGCAATATTTTTTTTCCTTCCGCCRGGAACATCTTGTTTACTGCTCAAGAAGGTTTCATTCCTACCGATAAAATTGACCATTAAGGCTGCACATAGATAAGAGCAAGGGCTTATGGAAAGGGTAATTACTCAACAACAAACACATGTTGCAGTGCTTTGGAGTTTACCTAATTAAGGACAACGAACAAATAACTGAAATGATGTATAACTGAAATTACTCACATTCAAAATAGAGATAGATTTGAAATATTTGCCTAGCATATTTAGTTATCCCCTGAGCTTTGTGGGTTTTGTGGCGACAACCAAACTAGGTCATTTGCTCTTTTTTTTCTTACTGCTTCATTCTCTTTAATTACTTTTTTTWAAAAAATATTTTGCCGTTCTCGGTTTTGTTTGGAGGCAATGGCCAACATTTACCACGACAGCACTGAGAAATGGAACGTTATTATTGGCAGCCGGATGAATCCCGTGAAACTAGTGAAAGACCAAACACTACCAGATTTTCTCTAACAAGGAAAAACCATCCACGCTGGACGAGGCCACCAAAGGCCTCCACAAAGAGAAAACTATTAACTCAAAAAGTGCCAGCACAGCAAAATGTGGGACCGCACAGCTACTCCGCATCCCATTCGGCATCTCCAGTGCTGAATCATCTTCATTACTGCAAGGCCGGAGCTATTGCTACAACTCCTATATACTTAGTAAATTAAGAGCATAAATATGGAAGTATAGCACTTTGCTGCCTGCTTGAAGGCTCTAATTCATGAACTGCAAACTT